TAGTTTGGTCTGTAACTTTTCGAATTTGTTAAGAAATTTGAAATCTATTAAAAATGAAATTTCAATGCCGGTCCTAATTAAATTTCCATGACTGTATAGATGCGAAAGGTTTCATTCAAAACGACACTGCAGACAAAAAAAATCTATCAAAACGGAACACCGCAAAGCGAAATACTTAAAACGACACATACTATGTTTCATTCTTACGGATTTCTTTTCCATGTTCCACTTTAATGGATTGTTTGATTTTTGTTTCGTATCTATGTATCGAGCGAAAAAAGTATCGCTTTCATTGCAAGTCCCCCATATATGTACGTAAAATTTCTTAGAAAAATTAAACTCCAAGCACTTCAGATGGGCCACTGATTGAAATAAAAAAATTTCAGAGCTACCGGTTACAAAAAATATGTTATTCTATTAAAAATTCCAGCGCCAAAAAGTCGGGGGAAGTTAAGCACCAACCGTTTCTTGAAAAATAAATTGTTCTCTTATGTTTTCTTTGCAGAAATTATATAAATCTTCACTTTGACATGCGTGTAATGATTTTAATTGTGAAACGACTACAACTCAAGGTGAAGCTATCTAAACAACACAAATGTTCAAATGGTCTCTACTTGCATAAATGAGCCGAATCAATAAAAAAAAAATTGGACAAAAATAGCGATTGAATCGCAATAGAATGGCATCCGGATTTTTGTGCTGGAACCCAATAGAATAGTTTGAAAAGTCCAAGAATTCCACAGAATATTGGTATTTTTGAACCCTTCACTCCAAACAATTTTATTGGGCTTCAAATGATAAAAGTAACTAAGTAGTGACCTGAAATTTGAGTGTAAAATTATGCAAATCATAACCGTTATTCAGATTTGGAGTCGTTATTCAGATTTGGAGTTGCATTTTCACATTCAGAACTACCGGCTATTTCAATCACTGGGATGGGCATTTAACCACTAGCAATTTGTGATGATATTTTAAATACAACATGACACGTAGTCAGTCCCGGTCCAAATCCGAATTAACCGTCAAAATTAATTTCCAACTAAAGTCATTCTGTTTCTAGTTTTATTGCCTGTATTTTTTCAAGCCTATTACTAATCCATACGAATTATTTTTCATTAAAAGTATCGCTATGTATCTACAAAAACCACCAGCTGCAATATTTTTCAATAGGAAATATGAAACACCGTCATTTCCAAATGATTTCTTGGAACAACTATATATTGAACGTTTCTCAAATAATTGAGTCAGTTTCCTAACTTTAAAACGTTATTCCATTCAATTCAACATTCAAAAAAATTTGATTAAAATTAGTGTAATCAGTATAAAACTGCCGGTAAGTTTATTGCTAGAATTATCAGCCGTTTCCGTCACACTTTGAATTGGTTGACTATTGATGGTATTTCCGTCTACAGCAATTGGAGTTTCAGTTTCAATGGCATGCGAATCAGGTTCGATTTTGCCATAATTACATCCACTTTGATTGCATTTCTTACACAGAACTCCTTTTTTGTCACACAGAAAGCGATAGGTGTCAAGGTCACTAATACAACCTCGATGCACGGTATGATCTAAAAAACGATGGTATTAGCAAAACACAATACTTTAAAATGTTCATTAATTTCCTTACCGTAGTTCATCAATGTATAACACTGATCAAGTTCAGAGTAAAATTGGCATGGCCCCGCGGTGATGTTAGAATTCTTTGAGATATTTCCACATTCTTCGTTGCCGCTGCATTGATAGCACTGCAAACGTTGTGGGGGTAATACTATTCCATTACATTTATCACTTGAGCAAATTTCCAGTTCATTTTTGACTGTTTTCTCATTTGTTACAATATTTTCCGTACAGTTTCGATATGTGTATCCATTTTCAATGCCAGTTACACATGAACTTAGATAATTCAAGCAGGACGATGTATGTGTTGAGTCTGAGGCTTTTGCACAATAAGGATCATTCCTACTATTGCACACATAACAGGTCTTATAGTTTTTGGCTGTGTTGCAATTTCTTCCAAAGCAACTCTTGCATGTATCAGACTGTTTGTAGCATTCATGTTGATGCTTTGTATCCAAATCTTCCAAACATCCACGTCTGAACGTATCACCATGTTTGTGTAAGTAGCAACCAGCTGATTTGTTAGCCTTTACCGAACAAATTCTCGGAATCATTGATGCTGGATCATCGCGGCAACGGACATCATTACTTGAATCACATTCAATACATGTATCAGTTAGATTGTGGTTATTACAGGCACTTCCATCGTCATTTTTACATGTTTGACATTTGGCCTGCATGTAAGTCGCTATACAATCGGACAACAATTCTGGATTCATTTCCTCCAAACATCCTCGCCGTACGAAATTGTTTCGTGTGAATACAAAGCACTCATCGTCATAAGTCTGACAAGTTTTAATTGAAGCCTTGCCATGGTGTTCAATACAATTCGGGTCCGATGCTGAATTACATGTCATACATTGTGTAAAAGCACTCTTCGAATTGCATTTGTTTCCAAGACAGGTTTTGCAAGTGGTACTGTTTCGCTGGCATTCGTGTTTTTGCTCTGCATACAAACTACTCACACATCCTATTTTTTGTGTGTAGAAAATATAGTAAATTAGAATACGTACGAAACAGTTGTATAAAATTACCTCTTATATGGTGACCATCGGCACCTATGTGATGATAGCATCCTTCTGGACCAGCAGAAAGCGGACATGCCTGATTAGCAAAATGTGTTGCATTCGTTTGACACGCTGGATCTGTCGCAGAGTCGCAAGTAATGCACATTTCCGCGTGGATATTTTCACCATTGCAATCGGACAAACGTGAACATTTTGAGCATTTGCCTGATGTACAACTCTCCTCTGGCATATCTTCACCCAGGCAACCACGAGAAACGGTATTGTTTTCAACATTTATGAAACATTCAGCTAAGTGATTTTGACACAATTTTGTCATGGTATCTGGGACATTGCTTTTACAATTCTCGCCATCCACATTTGTGTCGCAAACGTAACAAGATTGAAACTTCATTTCCAAATTGCAATTATTACCAACACATGTTTTACACTTTGATCCTTCTTTGAGACAGATTTCGCGCTCATCTTCATCAAGATCAGACAGACAGCCTCGTTGGATATTGGACAAGCTGGCCTTTCGGAGATAACACCCTCTTGGCTCTACTGACCGTTGGCATGTTCTGCTCATTTTTTCATTAAGCTCATGCGTGCAATTCAAATCGGTCTCAGTTTGGCAGTCAATACAGGATTCGTCACGGACTTCTATATTATTACAATCGTCTCTGTCTAAACACAATTGGCATGTATATTTATCTTTGCAGTCATCGATTAGGTTAATTCCTTCACTGAAAAGCGATTGGATAGATTCTTTCAAACAACCTCTGCGCACAGTTGTCTGATTGGCAATGTGAACAAAACAGGAGTCTGACACATATTCGCATTCATGTGAGATATAATTCCCTTCCTTCTCCACACTTGATATTGATTTCACGTCTTTACATTTGATGCAAGATATAGCATATGCTGAATAGAAATCAACATAATTGTGGAAATTAGTATAAATTTGCTCATATTTTACACCTCATGTTGTCTAAACAACATTATTTTAAAATCCAGATTATTCACAATAAAAATCACTCACCGATATAGGAAAAACCACTGGAAACAAAAAGAATAAAAAATATCTTTGAATCCATTTTTTAACAATGGATTTCGTCAATCGAAACCAGTCACAAACAATCAATATGATTATTAGTGAGCTTTGAATTTGTCCAATTTTATATACTGTAGCAAAGCAAAGTTGTTAACTGTGGATAGAATGCTTTGCATCGATAACAAACAATGTGACAAATTGTTACAATGGGATACTTTTGAAATTTCACTCAAAGGCAAATACTAATGACAAAACGAGAGGAACATTTGTCATTTGGAACGTATTTTTATTTTAAATGATCACTTTTTCACCTATAAAACGACTTTTATTCGTCCTCTTTGCTCAAAATATATCTGTCGCCATTCAATAGAAATCGTTATTACGTAAGAATCCGAAACAGAAACAATTAGAAAATTGCGTTTCAACAATGTTGTCGATATTTTATTGATAACGATAAACAAACACATTTATTGGAACATTTTGTTTCAAGATTTGAATTAAGATTCTGAGGCGTCGTCATTGAACCCAAACAAAAAAGAGAAACAATGCGATAATGACGTAATTTGATGAAAATCGCACACTTGAACTGGGTACTTGACTGTTCCAATTGTGTCCACTGCATAATGTGCACCGTTTATCGAGTTGACATGACCCAAGCTTACTCACATCCAGATACTCCTCACAACCCCTTGTGATAATGTCATCTACAAAATCAGTCAGCATTTTGTGTACAAAACATGGATATCATGGTAACGTCAAAAGTGTTTTTGGGATCATTCCGGTATCAGCTTAAATGGAAATGATTTTAGCGTTCAATGATTGTCAATGTCCCAATCTCTGTGAAACAATAGGCCATTGGTAGGTAATATAGTATTGACTCAATACCCTTGAATTTTTTTTATAAAAATCGAATGAAAATATTGGTTTGCGACCATAATCGATTTTGAATTTTTTGCGTAGAGCTACCAATAATTCCTATCAAAACCTTCTTGAGATATATTCACAAAACCTTTGATAGCTAGAAACCGAATTTTTATATCTTCCTATTCAAAACGTTCGTGGTCTCCGCTCCAAATCGAAAAAATTCTACTGCAATTCATCAGCTACTGAATATACCATCATTTCGCTGACGGAGACATGGCTTACCAGTGGCCATAATTCTTCTGAATATTTCGATGAAACATACAATGTGTTCAGAAAGGATCGCTGTGAAACAAATTCAATTTACGAAAGAGGTGGCGGAGTGTTAATTGCAGTTCGCTCTCATCTCATTTGCAATGACATCGTATTGACTGGTACAGCCAACATCGAATGTGTATGTGTAAAAATTCAAACAGCTAACAACTCCTATGTGTTCATTTACAACGCATACATTCCACCACGCTCGGATGAAAATGTTTACATCGCTCACTTTCGTGCGATACGCGCTCTGTACGACATGTCAAACCAAAAGGACACAATTATACTGACTGGCGATTTCAACATTCCAAATTCAAATTGGGTTCCGGATGAAACCGAGACGAATGTACTTCTACCAGCATTTATTGCACCAAAATTCGCAGCTGATTTCATCGACGATGTTCTAAATCTCGGGTTGCAGCAAGTCAACTATATTCGGAATCCAGGAAACAACCTGCTTGATTTGGTATTCACCAACGATTCAACCAGTCTTGAGATCTCAAGTCCTTCACCGCTGATCGACATTGACAATTATCATTTGCCCATTTTAATATCATTCGAATGGCATCTGCCCAGTACGTCAACGACTCCGAACTCTACGTTCATTTTCAAAAAAGCTGATTATGTCTCGATCAACCGATTCCTTGATAGTGTCAACATTGAGATGCACTTTCAATCGAAATCGCTGGATGAAAAAGTCTCATTCTTGAATAACGTGATTCATGAAGCCATTAATCAGTTTGTACCTAAATCAGTCAACAGATTTGATGCAAACTGTCCATGGAAAACCAAAGAACTACGCAGATTGAAGAATAAACGAAATAAGGAATGGATCAGATCAGGTGACAGCATTGACTACCGTAATGCTCTAGACGAATTTAATTCATTGAATACACAACTGTACAATGACTACGTCAAGAAAATGTCATCGTCTTTGAGCACAAATCCAGCGTCATTTTGGCAATTTGTTAATTCAAAGAGAAAAAATGCAAATACACCCCAACTCCTTCGTTATGGTGAAAAAGAAACAACAAACACACATGAGCAGTCGAAATTGTTTGCCGAATTCTTCAGCACGAACTTCCATGATTCATCGCGTTAAAATATCAACAACAACCAAATGAATGACCGTCACACTACAACGAACGTTTTATTTGATCTTGACGAGCATTTTGTCTTTGATGAGCTCATGAAAATCGACACAACTAAAGGAATTGGACCGGATGGTATTCACTCTTTGCTACTTCGAAATTGCTCGGCATTACTCTACAAACCACTATCGATTATTTTCAACGAATCACTTGCATTATCAGCGTTCCCCACTGCTTGGAAACGATACAGTGTCAGTCCTGTCTTCAAGAAGGGCTCAAAATCGAACATTGAGAATTACCGTTGTATTGCTAAGTTGCCTACCATTGCTAAATTCTTCGAAAAACTGGTAAACATCAAACTCATCAAATTGATTGACACTCAAATAATTCCGCAGCAACACGGATTTATGAAACATCGCTCAACGACAACGAATCTCATGGAATTCACCCACTACGTGATTAAGAACCATGGTCAAGTTGATGTGCTCTATACCGACTTCAGCAAAGCCTTTGATCGGGTGAATCATCGCATTTTGATATCGAAACTTAAGAAATTCAACCTTCCGCTAAATCTTGTCAACTGGATCGAATAGTACATCACCGATAGACGACAATTTGTGTTATATGAACATCAACAATCTGACGATTTTGTAGTTAACTCCGGAGTTCCACAAGGAAGCCACATAGGACCGACATTGTTTTTGCTGTTCATTAATGATATAGCGACGAAGCTGGGCCCTGATGTTTTCATTTCACTATTTGCTGATGATCTCAAAATTGCAACGATTATAAATTCACCTGATGACATCAATAAACTTCAATCGGCAATAAACGAACTCAAAATATGGTGTATTGAAAACGATCTACACCTCAACTTTGATAAATGTGCAATCATGTCAATCTCAAATCGTCAGACTGTGAACATCGTAATTGGTAAATACTTTTATGGTGCCCATGAATTTCGTAGAGTCAGCGAACAGAGGGATCTCGGTGTACTCATTGACTCAAAATTGAACTTTATCGAACACATTAACGCCATCACTGCTAAAGCAGCGTCAACTCTGGGTTTCATCAATCGATTTTGCTATGAGTTCAGAGATATTTGCACACTCAAGTCACTCTACTATGCTTTGGTTCAATCGGTACTGGAGTATTGCAGTGTGGTTTGGCTCCCGTTCTACGAATGCCACAAAGGAAAAATTGAAAGTATTCTCATTCAATTTACAATGTTTGCGTTGAGAGAATATCAAAATGCAGCGAACAACTACACGATTTCGAGCTACGATCAACGGCTGTCAAAACTTGACATGCAATCGCTACAAAGACGACGCATCAACGCTTCAATGATGTTCTTCTACGATCTCATCAATGATATTATTCATTGCCCGCGCCTAAAAAACTTCGTCACCCAGAATACAAACGCAAGGAATACACGAATTTCAGATTTATTTAAAATTGTCGACCAGCGATTGAGTATCACGAAAACCGCCCCTATCAACCAAATGTGTTCATACTCAAACTTGATTAAACCATTGTTTCAACAATCGTCTTCACGCAACAACTTTAAATCGTCACTCAAAAAGATTCCTGATAATGTCTTCAGGCTAAAGTCATTAGCTAATACCTACAGCACGCATTTTTTTCCTAACCAAATGTGATTTACGCTATAAGCAGAAAAATATATATTTTTTAATCATTCCATTTGTTGCTATTGCTAACATTTAAGAGTTGATTAAAATCACGTCAAATTTGTGTGAGCGATCAAAATGAACTGAATTTTATTAAGTTGTTAATTTTGAACAGTTATTCCAAAAATGCTTAATTGCTAGATATGGTTCGTTGCCTTTAATTTCGAATATTGAACTTTGTTTTTTTTTAATGAAAAGTGCTGAAATGCCAATTGATTGGACTTTATATGAATTTAAACAAATGCCAATTTGATTGGACTTTGTATGAACAATATGCTGAATTTAACAATATGTTCTTGAACATTCTCCCGGGCCAAACTTTGATATAAACAAACAAATTTAATAACAATTTAGAATTTTAAACAAGATTTTGATTTACAATGAGAAAAAAAAAAAGTATTGATTTCGTGATTAAAATTTCATTCATCCGATTTAAACGAAAATGTCATATTGAAAGAGAAAGGAAAAGAATCTTATTTAATGTTATTTTTCCCATGGCATTATGATCGATACGTTGTTTTTAGCACGATGTTCTACGGATGTGTGTCTCATTCCTCGGGGTACTAGTGCCTGTCCGTTTTTTGTATCGTGAAATTTGATTTCCTTTTTATCTACAATCGTAGCTTCGGCTGTTGTGCTGGTTGATTGTATTTGTTGCCTACAGTGGTTCTCGGATTTTACTGAACGTAAGCGCTTTTTTGATTGTAGTTGGTTTACGCAGTGCATACAACCGCATTTTGCCAGACGTTTCAATGTTTTTTTGTTTTTGTTGCGTTTGTGCGATCTCCACCAGTTCATGACGATGTGGATGATCATGTTCGTACAAATATTTAATGCTATGTAAATTTTGAGCGTTGTTTTTGCTTCTGACACGCTATCGTCGATTCTTTCGATACTTGTGATTGTATCGTTCGTCAATTTTGTTATTCTTTCTTGCATTTGCCTGTCTTCGGCTTCCAGTTTGTCAACGTATTGTCCGGCTATCCAAAACCCAGAACTAGGTAATGGAGCTGCATTTGCCGCTGGACAATACATTGAAATGGCCATTGCGAAAATTAACATAGCCGACGTTGCGAGTTTTCGTATTTGTTTTGAGAATTTGAGTACACATGCGATGAATGTTAAACACATACATACTCCGATGATCGTTGTCGTTGTTGTTTCAATGGATTTTGCGGACGTAGTTGCATTTACTGGCGTTATTGTCATTGCGGTGGTCAGTAATGCCGTAATTGAAGATGTACCCATATTTTGAGTACGGTTGGTAGATTTTTTTAAATCATTTTCAATCGTTGATGAGTTTGGTATTTCGTTGGCATCGTCGATCGGAAGTGGAGCCAACTTTGTTAATGGACGTGTCAAAGT